TGGGTATTTTATAAAAAAAATGGCCGAATCAAGATGAGCTTTTATTATCACAATCGCAGAACACGTCTGCAAAGATTTCTAAATAGAAAATTCCCGCTTTTGATGCGATCACGGAGGAAAATGATGATTTTCTGTTACCATGGGTGGGAAATGATGATGACGTCCACATGACCGTGGAAGATAATATTTAAGATATCCTAGAAATTTGTATGTTTTGTTTTTACAATATATATGAATCGGTTTGACCAGTTTTGCAGGCTAATAATGGGTTAACGTGCCTTAGTCTCTTGCTAGACTAGTTGTTCCTACACTGCATTTATAGTTGTTACAGTCCTAGCTGTCCTATGTTGTTGCACTGCAAGTTATGTTGTTGGTTGTATCAGCTTCCTAGCTATGTTTAGCCGCTTATAGAGATGTTTTTTTGTTCAGTATTGTACTGTCATCAATGTTGTCATGCTTTTGTCCGTTTTGTAAAGCTTTGTTCAAATAAACTTGTTATTGTATGAAATTTGTTTTTTTTTCACATAAGTTCTTTGGTCAGCTATATCAAAGGGCATTTATTGGTCAGAAGGTGGAATAAACTTTTGTTTGAGGTATTAACTTTTCTTCCTCAGTCATTATTTTTAGAACCAAAAGGTAATCGGCATCAATCACTGAAAATCCCTTGTAAATTATCATTTGTGATAAATAAAACATGCAAAAAATTAATATTTTAACAAAGATTGATAAAGTTGTATCAATATTAACAGTAAATAATTTGGTGCTTTTAAACCAGTTTGATAACTAATTCTTTACCTCCTCTTCTGAATTTAAAACTGAATATTCATTTTCTAAGTCTAAAGCATCAATCTACTGTATAAAACCCCTTTTTTAGTAATGCTATATATCTCAATATCATTTTCAAATTTGAATTGAAGATTTTAAAGTCACTGTTAAAAATTTCATGATGGGTTAGCCTCTGGATCAAGATAATGCAAATATATAAAAGGTTTAATTTACCTGTTGCGTCAATTGATCCTTAAGTTATGAATCCTTTGTTATTTCATAACTTAAGGATCAATTGACGCAACAGGTAAATTAAACCTTTTATATATTTACTGTTAAAAATATAAACTGTATATAAACTGTATAAAATTAACTTGAAATCATTCTGAACTCACAGAAATATAAGTATGAGCAGACATAGCTATTCGGTGTTTTCGACAACTGTTGAAAGCTCAAATTTGTTTGGATTGGATTGTGAAATTTTGTAGCTGTGTGTGTTTCTTTTTAGCAAAAGGAAATCAAAATATCTATTTGCTTATCATTGCTAAAGTAATAATCTCCCACTGATTTTTCTAAAATCTATGCTTATGGATTTAAATTTAATAATGAGTATAACAGATTCTTTAGTTTGATTTATCTTTGTATGTCAAAACGTCTTTGACTGTAAAAATGGATAAATTTCCCACTCTTCTTTAAGTATAATTTTGATTTTGCTTGGATATTTTTTTAGTTTTTACATAAAAATAACAGCAAAGTGTGTTCGGATTACTCAAAAGAAGTGGTAAGTTCATAAAACAACTTAAAGTAATTCATAGCATGGAATTTAAAAAAAAAATCGCTCTTATTATCCTGTGAAATATTGCATGGTATTGGAATGTCTTGTATGTGATAAACTTTCCTTTTTAATTAATAAATCTAAGAAAACACGTTGCACTGTTTCACTGTAATGTTTACACCAAGGAATCTAGATAAGTGAAAAAATTCTGTCAGCAAAAGGTTTAAGTAGTTATTTAATGAATAATTAAATATTAAAGGTTTCAGATAACATCAGAAACTAATTTTAAATAATGATGGAGGTTAAAACACTCAAAATAAATTGGCCTTGAATATCATTAGGCTGTAAAATAATAAGTAATTTTCTGCTAAACTTCATTCTTCTTGTTTTTTTTTTACAAAATAAAACAATTACTGTACTTTACTAACCTCACTAAAAATAATCAACAAACTCAGAGGTTAGACCTAGTAATTAACTGAGGAGTGAATTAGAATATAAGCAAACGTAAGACTAGTGCTTGCAACTACGTGTCGGTAATAAACCAAAACAAACATGTTTATATTGAAGTTGTTGAATAAACTGAGGACCGGTAAAACGGAGGCCGGATATCAGGAATTCTACTGTTGGAAATAGTGAAATATTTTTTTTCACGTAACAATGTTTAAAACTTTTAGACTTCCAAAAAAATTATTTTAGAAATTTACACCAGCGGCTCTAAAAAGTCACCAAGTAATTAGCTATGGAAGTATACAAAAAAAGTCCCATGACAGTTAAATATTTCAAAAAGTAATAAAGATAGAGCTTCTTAACTTGGTACACAGTTACTGGGCATTAAGACATTTTAACATATTATTCTGTGATACTGATGGTATATACAAACTCATTTAAATTAAAGCTTTGAGTTTAAGTAAGTTTCAATTACAATATTTACACAGACTCTGTATGAATATTGCAGCATAAATCTGATGTACACTTCAGTGCAAGAACCGTTCTTTTATCTTTAATCAAAATTATACATATCTTATGAACTATCGATTAGTAATGCTTCCTAAGGCCCAATTCACACCGAACGGACGTCGGGCGGAGACGTGGCATGGACGAGGCGAGGACATATGTCCGTTCCTCGCCTCCCCATGTAAACAAATTGGTCAATGCACACACAAGTGACGTGGCGCGGGCGGCCGCCCTCCCGCCACCGCCACGTCGCTTCGGCGTCCCTCTTGGCGTATCGGAAGTGGCATGTCCGTAGCACGCCCGTTGTTCGGACTGCAAATATTGTACTTACCAACGTTGTTTGTTGTTTTGTGTTTAGAGTAATTGTGAGTTGTTTCTTGTTCTTTTTACTATGCGAGACGACATTAAATTCAATCACAGATTTTGTCAGGAAGTTAAAAAATTCCTTTGTTTGTACGATCACAGTCGTACAAACTAATTGACACAGTCGACAGAAATAACTAATTCAGTTGACATAAATAACTACAGAAATAAGCAAAAACCAAAGCTTCTAGTCTACATACAAGTTTTCTCTCCACTGTACCGTCCCTTCACCGTCTCTTCAGTGTGCATTGTACACGCCACGTCACTGCAACGTATGTGCCTCGTCCGTGCCACGTCTCCGCCTGACGTCCGTTCGGTGTGAATTGGGCCTAACATCTAGTTACTGTCGTAAGACCAAGGTACAAAACCAGTGTAATGGCTGTATTCATAAAAAAATGTAAAAAATGCCACTGCCAATGTGCCAATGCTGAAAAACAATATTGCCCTTTTCCAAAATTCAAATTAAAAGACTTTTTACTTTAATTAATTTATCGTTGTACTTAACCTTATAAAACTAAACCTTACACCAAACGTAAATAAATTTTCATGTATAATGTTATGTTAAATAAGCATTTTAACTTAAAATGCTTAGAGAATTGTATTTATGCTCTATGGCATGAATTAAATTTGATCATATAAATTGTTGTACAGTAGTTACTTGTCTTTGACCAGTGAACTACATTCTTACAAATCAATCTAATGCAGTTTTTAATGGTGTTACTTAATATATCCTCAGATTATTTAATTATGTTAGCCTTCAAATCGCTTCAGTTAATTAATAAATGGTTTAAATACCTTAACTGTCAGGTGATCCTTTGAGTAGTAATACACTACTGCAGTTTCAGCCCTCAGGGAACTTTCTTCAGGTGACAAAGGAAGTCAAAATTTTTCATTCACACGAATTTGTCAAATTGAGTCTACGAGAACATAACACGGATTATTCCTTAAGTGTAAGAAAGGACCATGTGGCCCTAACTTTGTCTTTGTAAATAAATATTTTATATTTCATTTCAATATACAATAGTGTTATGTTTATAATGAGTGATGACTAATTTTACACTCATAGCCTACCTTGTCTGTCGTCTTTAAAAAAATTTCAAATCTTGTAGTAATGTACGGATAGTCAAATGACCAAGATCTTTGTTCGTCACATCTAACTTATTTGCCGTTGCTGCAAAAGGAACTATCTAAGCAAGGGGTTCCCAAACTATAGGAGCCATTTTGGTGGGTCGCGAAAAGAGACCAAACACTAAACATGTTTTTATCGTGACTTATCAGGGTAATTGTTCAATACCAGAATAATAAAATGAAAAAAGTTTAGGAACCGCTGATCTAAGCTACTGCTTAATTAAAATGAAATAGTCGCATGCATTTTTTTAGTCTTGGAAAGAAAAAAAGCTCATGTTAATCCTGTGTTTTTGTTCATCCTACTACATTGTACACCATACTATACAAATATAAGTGTTTCCAGAAAACTCATTAAGAAGCTTGACTTGTAGAGTTTTTAAAAAGTTTGAGTCGAGCCAGTTACTGAAATACTCGACCACTCGCACATCCCTATTTTAAAACCACATGGCTAAAATCGACCTGAAATACTATCCTACGAATAAAATAGTATGCACTGTCCCTTTTTTCAATGACTTGCATGTAATTTGTCAATATCTTTATTCTATAAGACAAAGATTTTGGTATCCTGTGCTTATACAATGTCCAATATAAATGTACAAGTTAATGCATGTCAAAGATTTCTCATTCCTTACTTAACAGTTTTAAAGACATTTTTTTTACATAATATATATTCGTCGCATGATTTTGATTATAATCACTTAAGTTCAAACGAACACTTTTTCAATTCATGCTTGTGCTCCTTTCGCTATCCACTTTTTGCTTTTACCTTTAAAAATATGTATTGGCTACTTGTTGTCTTCTTGCTGCTTATTCTCTTACGATTACTAACATTGAATTTGCTTCTGAATGAGTACAGCTCTTGAGAGTTTTATTATTTTCTCACAAATCTGTCTTTCTTTTAATCATAGCAGTGGGTGAGCCAAAAAATGTTTCATGCTCTTTTACATCTTGCCTAGTTTCAACTAATGTCAATGTTTATTTTCCCTGACTAATGCAGTCTTTGTCCATTGTACAGTCATCACTGAAGGCGAGGAGGTAATGGAGTTGGTTCCTCACATCATCCTCAACCCAGGGTTTCATGACGAGAGTCGCTGGAGCGATCCAGACGAGAACGCCAACGACTTTAGAACCACACGACTCAACAACAACCATGTCGTTCGACCTTTCCGCGTCTGACTACACAACGAAGGAAGTGCCACATTGGAAAACCATCTTTGCGACGGTGTTATATTTTCTAGTAATTGAAAAAGACTATTTTGGTTTGTTTGGCGAATCACTGCAGGCTTACCTAACTGCTGATATTGCTTGTTTTGGAAAAATTAGTCCAAATCTACTTTGGAATCCACATGTATTGTAATTGATAGTGTTTTATGTATGATGCTTTTTTAGTTTTGCTATTCATAATGTTATAAATTTATTATTTAAATTTTGTTACATAGTGTTGTAAAGCATGCAATGCAATGTATTGTAAGCCAAATGTCAGAAATGAAAGCCTAGCTCGTGTATCAGTCAATCATGTAGATAATTTGTAAACGTTTTTTTTTTCTTTTGTTTATTGTTTACAAATGTTTAAAGCAATTTAATATTCATCAGATTCTGTAATTGATCAAAAAAACTGAAGAATGTTTTTACTGCAATAACTTGTGGAGATGGTCTTTCAAGTATTACTTCCTTGAAGCATTGAGGACTTTTTGCGACTGATTGTAACAAAATTGACTGACGTATAAAACTTGTTGGTTCCACGAGCCAATGTTGTTGTAGCGTTAGTCTACGCTTGGCGCCGACTTTTGTGGCAGCTGAGAGCTTAGTTCACCTTGTTAAGCGTTACTGATAAGCACCCAACGGCCAACACTAGTAGATGACAAAATAAACAAAAGATGGTTCAATGTGTCCCTCTAACTCAGAATTAACTACCAAGGAAAATAATACTAGCCTGTATTATTAATCAAAGCTTTCATCTTTCAAAGCTCCAGCTTAGATTTTCCTACAACACTGTACAACTGATTAGTGAGCATCTAAATTTAAATCCCTCTTAAACTGTTTCACATAAATTGTCTTAGTGAATGATGTCAATAGTGTACAATTGTATTGCCTAAAACTAAATGTAGGCCTAGGATTTACCCAACCTCTTCAAGATTATGTCTTATCTAAAGTTAATGGAAATTGCTGTTTGGAGGTTATTCAGTTTTATTGATATAAAGGATATACAGAGCCATAGAAGGTGTTCATGCTGGTTTGGGTGATATAAGCTCTCGTATACCACGCAAGTAGTGCCCAGTATAATTGTTGATTGCCGAGGAATACTCAGTGCGAGAGGCCTTATCATCATTGACAGAGAGTGCCTCTCTGTTGTCGCTGCTCAACAGTGTTGTTTCTGTGTTCTTGGTCAGTGTTACAACACCGGATAGAAAACCCTTATTTGAGATCAAAAATCTTGTTTGAGATCATTCTTTTTTTTAAACCTATTAAATTAATTAAGATGACAAAATTAAGGGAAATGTTGCATAATGGAGCACTGATAGGCCTACTTGAGTTTGATCATTATGTTTTCTTTTATTTTGTTTAGTGCTCATTTTAAACCATATTTAATTCATTTGATATTGTGTAATAACAATTTAAATTTGTTTTCATAGGTTACACAAGCTGTTTTATATTGTTTTAACCACACAAACAAATTTAACACCACTGAGCATGGTGGTCAGTTTTCCAGTAAACATCTTTTTTCTCCTTATTTTACTGACTGTTTTTATTTTATCAACTCCAGACTAACAAGTGATAAATATAATAAGACTACAATACTAGACGTTGTCATCATGAAAAAGATGACTTACTCGGTTAAATAATAAAGACTTTCTTTCAGAATCATCTCTGAAAAGAATCCTTTATAAATGATATGTTTAAGAAATTAGTTGAAAATAATTTTCTCAAGCCGGTGAGAGTAGGTAACACTGATCAGTCTTTCAAACGGAGCTTTTGGCAGCAGTTTTGTCACCTATTCACTTTTGCCAATTCACTTCCAATAACCCATGACATAACTATAGTTATATTCTAAACATAGGAAACTAAATTTTATAAACATTAATGGGGAGTGAGTTGACAAAAGATCCCCTATTGCCTTCCTGCAAATTTGTACAAGGCTCCTAGTCAAATGTGATTTGTATTTTTGGAATTATTGCGCCATGTAAGTTTTGTATTTTTAATATAAGCATACATGTAATGTCAATGGATCTTTATAGTTTTCAAACTACTGCTGAAATGTTTGTGTTGTAGTTGTGTTTATTCACAAAATGTTCCAACTCCAACCTGTTGTCAATACTTGAACTTGATATGAAACAAAAATTACAAGAAAACTCAAAATATGAGCAAGAGAGAGATTTCTGAAAAATTACTTGTTTGCTAATCTGTGGATTTGATTGGTAATTAATAAATTTACCCATACAAACATTTTTTTTATTTGACGGTATTACAGTGCAAAAAAATAGGTTTGTACCCAATGACAAAGTACGGTATTCCAAATATGTAACAAAAATTATTTGAAATGCATAATTAGTTATAAGTATAGTCAAAGTCAATCTTGCTGAAGTTCCATTACTCACATCCATACAATAAGTAATAATAAATTCCAGAATTAAGGAAAATTTAACATTTATACTGTTAATCTGAAACACAACTTTCCTTGCACAAAATCAGCTGATTGGAGGTGGGCAAGAAACACCAGAACACTAGCAGTGGTAAACAAACTAAAAAGATCCATTTTCATCATTGATGATGTTTTGGTTTGGACTCAAGGTACTAAGAGACTGTGTCGATTTGACATAAAATGAGATTAGTAACCTCATTTTATGTCAATAGATCAATCCTGGAGGCAAATTATGTATAAATGTGTAGATTTGTTAAATTGTATTGTAGAAATCAGAGGACAATTTTACAATTACAAGGAAGCTGTTATTATGCCTTTTTAGGTGGGAAACATTGTCCATGAGAGCATTTTCTTTACCTTCTATAAATTCAGTTAAGTGTAGAAGTCAAATTTGTGTAAAAAGTTGAAAATTAATATAGGGATTTTGTAGTAACAGATATAAGGTGTAGGCCTAATTCTAACCATCTGAGGACTATTAATAACAAGCTTCTTTAAAAATGTAATTTGATTGAAAATATCAAAGTCGAGTCTGGTTATGTTTGCTCCATTTTCTAAATGACATGGTGTCGTGATTACAAGTCCGTAGTTCTTGGGTCTACCATTCGTCACTTACCTGCCTGTAATGTACTCGATGTTCAGCACTTAGTGATACCGTAAACGTAAACTATAGGTTAGGTTGTAAGCTAAGCTCTCTTTTTACTATCACTTGTTTTAGTAAGTTTTTTTCTGTATTATTGACATTCGATCATTTTTTATGGTCTCTCACACATCTTACTTCTCTCTTGTTCTAAAAATAATAGTAGGCCCTATGTATATTTTTTCTAATATTTGTTTACAAATGGTTTTGCTTAGTGCATAATACAAGAAACATATTCTCAATCTTTGAAATTCATATAACCTAAGTATAATAAATTAGTTTTCCATGCCTTCCATAGTAATAACAATTAAAGTAATTTTATAGAAATACATTTGAAAACACTATTTACTTGTAGTACTTTCACTTATTCATGAACTTTTAAAATTGAGATCATGTTTCATACAATGTACACCTAACTCAATAAATGAGCTTAGAAGATACTTTATAGTCAAGTATACACAGGGCTGACCCTAAGACAAATTAGCAATCAACCTATCAGTGTTTTATTTTTTATTTTGCTTGACTTACTTAACTAGAAGTTGTTCATCTTGAAATACAATATTTTCCACCATATATAGCTTAGCTAGGGTCATCTCTGTGTAAATGTTTGTCTTTCATTTTGGTAATAAAGTTTTTATACGAATAACTCCCAAGTTTTGAAATACAATGTAATTTAATAATTTAACTAATTAATACTGCCTTGATTTTCTATAATATATTTGACAGTGGTTTTCGCAATTAATATTTAAAAAACATTGCAATTTGTTGTGTGATATTTATATTTTTTGTTGTTTATATTGTCTTATTAGGTTTGCAGATATAATTTGTGATTTATTTTACATTTCTAAATAATATTTATACAAATTTTTTACATTACTGTACTCTATTACCATGACATTACTAGACCTTCTCCGGAGGACCAACCCCCCACCACCACGCCGTGGGGCGAACGTGTTCTCTTGAGGGAACACTATTACCGCAACGATACCTGGTGCAGCCATTGGTGTTCGTGGTATAGTGGATAGAGTACTCGGCTGATGTCCATGAGATAGCCAGATAGAATCCCACCGGTGACTCTAACTTTTTGTCAAAGGATTTGCTTAGAATGTGATTACTTCTTAACTAACTGTACATCTTTTGTTTGAATCTTTGGCATATATAATTTTATTTTATGAACAGAAATATTTTGTTTTCGATTTGTAAACCTTTATTTGGTTTTTATCTTATATCTTTTTTATATTATCAGCAAGTTTGGTTGGTTTAGTTAGGTTATGATGGTTTAGTATTATAATTAAAAATGATAAAATTAATTTTATAATTTTTCTTAAATCGACGTGAGGGGCTCTCCCACAATCTCCCACTCCTTCGCAGAAGAGGTTCTCATCGGTTTTTGACCAGGACCCTGAGATGCTAGTCGGTGGGGGTAGGGGGGTCCTCCAGAGAAGGTCTCGTCATGACATTTAGTTAAACAGATTGCATTTATGTTGTGATCAAAGTGAAGTTATAAATGTTGCCGAGTGAATATTATGTTGCCGAGTGAGTATCTTGCCGAGTGAATATTATATGCTTTTTCTAGACAGTCGCCTTGCTTTTAGAATACGATATTATAACAAATGTGATAGTATTTTTAAGTTGTATGTGTTTAATATATATTTTTTTATATAATTAATTGTATTGAAACTTAATTTTATTTGCAATAAAGTTGAGACTTCCTGAAATCATATCAAGATACAATATTGTAAATTTAAATTTGGTTAGTTAAAACCGGATTTCCAAGTAATTGATATACATTTTTTCAGGGGTTTTATCTATAAATATACAGGGTGTCCCTCGAGAGGTGTCTCAAATCGATTACTGGAAAACGGCTTAACGTACAAGGATGAAATAAAATTATTTCCAACTAAATCGACCCCAAGGAATAACGTAAAAATATTTTTAACTTTTTTCAAATACAGGGTGTGCCAAAAACTGAGGGTCACTAGTTCGAATCTCGGAATTTTCAAATGTAAACATATGTCATGTTATACATCATTTTAAAGGTATTTGATAGACAAACATTTTGGCGAAAACCAAAATTAGTTATCTTTTTCCGTTTCAAAATGGCGGCAGTTTTTTTGAAAGAAATCTATATTTTTTTAATACTCTGTATTTCCTATACCAATGCATTTAGCACTTCTCCGGTTGCATTTTCTTACTCGTTATGAAATTAGCTTTACTGTGATATGCAACAAGTAACGGTTTTTTTAAATAATAAAAATTCCAAAAAAATTTATTTTTGAAAATTTACAAATGCTCATTGTTCAAAATTTTCAAATAGCAACATATGTCAAGTGGCACATCATTTTATAGGTTTTTCAATTCCTAACAACTTTGTAATTTACACTTACTTCGTATCTCTTTTAGTTTTTGTGTAAATAACAAAAAACCTAATTTTCCTATATCAAATGCATGTTATTTGGGTTTATTTCATTTAGTGTTGAACCATGTCAAACCCAAATAACATGCATTTGATATAGGAAAATTAGGTTTTTTGTTATTTACACAAAAACTAAAAGAGATACGAAGTAAGTGTAAATTACAAAGTTGTTAGGAATTGAAAAACCTATAAAATGATGTGCCACTTGACATATGTTGCTATTTGAAAATTTTGAACAATGAGCATTTGCAAATTCTCAAAAATAAATTTTTTTGGAATTTTTATTATTTCAAAAAACCGTTACTTGTTGCATATCATACAATCACAGTAAAGCTAATTTCATAACGAGTAAGAAAATGCAACCGGAGAAGTGCTAAATGCATTGGTATAGGAAATACAGAGTATTAAAAAAATATAGATTTCTTTCAAAAAAACTGCCGCCATTTTGAAACGGAAAAAGATAATTAATTTCTGTTTTCACCAAAATGTTTGTCTATTTAATACCTTTAAAATGATGTATAACATGACATATGTTTACATTTGAAAATTCCGAGATTCGAACTAGTGACCCTCAGTTTTTGGCACACCCTGTATTTGAAAAAAGTTAAAAATATTTTTACGTTTTTCCTCGGGGTTGATTTAGAAGGAAATAATTTTATTTCATCCTTGTACGTTAAGCCGTTATCCCGTAATCAATTTGAGACACCTCTCGTGGGACACCCTGTATACAATTATTTAGAATATTCTTACTTTTCTTTGTTTTATTGCACAACTGTACCTACTTGCTTGTTTAGTCCTTTCTAGGCTTTTGTGGTCTAGGACTCAAGAGAATAAACCCTTACTTTCAGCTAGAGGTCCAAGATACCTTTAAAACTTAGATCTGTCTCCAAAACATTGATGGTTTTGTTCCCTGATTACTATAACAAAAGCCAATTGAAGTATACTGTATTCAAATATTTGGATTAATTATAACTGATTTGATTCCCACTCAATAAATATCTCATACCTTCTTTTGGATTATCATGTGTCTGATAACTTACTAAAGTCCAGTGCCGGATTTACCACTAGTCCGACTAGGCCTTGGCCTAGGGCCACAAGCAAAAGGGAGCCGCAAAGGCTTGACAATTTCTTTATTCAGAGCAAAAAAAAAAAAAATATTTTTTTAAATTATTAAATTGCTGAGATCGCGGGTGACAATGATGATATCACCGTTTTCGGCTCACGGGAGATGATCACGATTTGCCGTTGCCACGTGTGTCGATGATGATGTCCTCGGGATTATGGCGTACGGGAGATACTCACGATTTTGCCGCCGTGGCAGGTGACACTGTTGATATCGCCTTGATTTCGGCTTACTGGAGGTGTTCATGATTTTACCATGGTCGTGGGTGTCGATGATGATGTCTCCATGATTGCCAATGGGGGATGTCTACGATTTTTTTCTGCAATCGCCAGGAATTTTCCCCATTGGGATGGGGGCCGCTCGATCAATTTGGCCTAGGGCCGCAGGTACCCTAAATCCGGCACTGCTAAAGTCGTCATATTAGTTGTACACTTGAATCAGTTTTGATTTCAAGATATTCTGTTCACGTACATACACAGCACATATCTCATTTATTGTCTAATCATGCGTATGTAAATATATAGTATTGGTCGTCAAGTAGGATAAGATGATATTGCACTGCTTGTACCAACAATTATTTCTCTGCACTTATAATGTTGTATCAAATGTTTTGCGTAGTTTTCTCTATCCTTTTCATGCATAAAATTGGAACAGTGTTTTCATACAAAATAATAATGAATGTAATATATTTTTTTGTGAGATGTGGATTCATCCTAAGTTTACATTTCACTCACCAAATAAAAACCTATATAAATATGTTTCCTTAAAAAAACTTGTTTAGGTGCTGTTCCAATTTCTTTTAATATATTCTTCAAGAACTCAAAACTAAAACAAACAATTTTACTATAATGTCAATACAAATCTTCCTATTCAAATAAGAGTGCAACTACTATGTGAATGGCCAAAATGTGCCTCATATTTTGATTTGAAATATTTTTACAGATAAATTAGTGACAACATTGAGTATTTTGGTCAAAGAGTTTATTTTTGCCGAGTGCCTGAATGCCCAGTTCCCGATGAGATTATAGCAATATTTTGTCTGTGTAAGGAGAGATTTAGTGTAAGTTTATTTTGTAAGTCTCTTTCATTGATATCTTACGAAATAATCTAATCAATATTTTATGTAAAAAATGTGTAGTCATCTAAATAGAGTAAAAGTCAATGACCAATAAAATGTATCATTTACATTTAAATAGTCATACCAACCACTTTCCAAAGTTTATTACTTGAATTAAAATAGAACCACAATATTTGTTTTGAAAAACTGATTGTCAAAAGTTAATAATTAGTTCTTATTACATCTTTAGGACTAATGATTTTCCATTCAAAATGTTTACTGAAATGAGGGATACATTAACAACTGTTTTTTGTGGAAATTAACTGTTTTGTGTTATTTTAGCAGATTTTTTAAAAGTCTTTATTAAACTATCATGTTTAGATACCTTTTTGCGCAATTTTTCAACAATCAATAATATTTGAGTTGGCAGAGGTGGGAATAGTAAAGAGCCTACCGTACTTAATTACCATTTTTAAAATATATTTCCCGTCATAATTCAGCAAAAAACAGCTGTTTTTAATACATGCGTTGCAGGTCTAAAGTAGCTCTTTTACTCCCTAGGGAGTAAAAGTGAGCTGTGGTAAACTCTGTTGTAAACTTTGTAAGTAATCAAATGTATCAAAATTACATATTGATTTTATTGCTTGTAGCTTATTGTTGCATTCCTGTCAATAATTCGACATGTTGATGGTATAATGTACACTAACACAATCGTAATCGATGAAATGATTAATCAATTAACCCCTGCTTGTTTGCATTAGTGAAATCGAAAACAAATTGAAAGTCATTTTAAGAGGTTATCTCTACATGAAAAGCATTTTCGGTTTCTAACTTTGTTTGTTAAAATGTTGCAATATGACAAAAAATATAGTTCATCACATGGACAATAAACGGTATCAGCAATCTGACACATACTTTCTCCCATTAGCTTGGGAACAACCTTTATCATGAATAATCGTTGGGAGTAACTATGATATGTTATAGGGAAAATGTCAAAAGTTGCAATAACTTTTGAACCGTACGATTTGTTTCAGCAATGGGGGCTTGCACTATTTTTTAGAATTATAAGGACCATAACATTTTTAATCAAAACGGTTTTTTTATCCCATATTTTGTTATTTTATAGTTTGTTAAGTGAAAAAATTACATAAGTTACAATAACTTTTTGAACCATAATTTTTACAGGAATGAGATTTGTACCATTATGTTCAGCATTTAAAGGACCATAACATACTAATTTTAATCAAAACGGTTTTTTTATCCCATATTTTGTTATTTTATAGTTTGTTAAGTGAAAAAATTACATAAGTTACAATCACTTTTTGAACCATAATTTTTACAGGAAAGGGATTTGTACCATTTTGTTAAAACTTAAAGGACTAGGCCTATAACATACTAAATTTATGTCAAAATCGTCCCATTTTTTAGAAAATCGGATTTTCCGTTATTTTATGGGTTTTATGGAAAAATCACCATTAAAATCTAAATTTAAAAAAAAAATTAAAAAAAACACCTGGAGATACCATGGATTAATGTCTACATACCAAATTTCATTAAAATCGGACTACAGGTGTGGTCTGTAGCTCTGTACACATCCAGACTTGTACATACAGACTTACACATAAAGAAATCCACTATTTTGGGTTCAGAGGAACCCAAAACGGATACATCCACTCAAAGCCCAAACTCAAAAATTTTGACGAAAACAATACATTCTCCCCCCATACTATGGTATAGTAACCATAACATGGTATGGTAGAAAGTAAACAGTGTCTTTTCAACCCTCTCTCATTTTCCCTTCAGTCGTGAAACTTGACCTAGAAAATAAAATCACTTTACGCCCTAATGATGAAAATACTATTTCAGAATTAGATGTCACTTTTTTGGTTGTTGGCTTTTGGTCTATAAGTATATTATTTGTTGTTATACTGTACTATGTTTATTTATCTTTCTTTGATATGTTTTAAGTATGGTGTACCTTTAAGGGAGCTTGTAAATTTCTGCATTCCTTTCCATAGTATCAATAAAAATGTAACGATTTTCTTAGTTAATATATTTAGTACAGCTGTAATTAAGTACACTTTACATTCTAGAATTACAAGGTTGAAACTAATGTTGGCATATATTATTTCCTGATTAAACAAACTACTCAAATTCTTATAGTAAAATTAATTTAATTTTACCTGCCTATATTTTGAACATGATTTAATTTTTCTTTTGGGAGTAAAGGAAACAGAAATATTGATGAGTTCCCTGTGATCGTAGAGTACA